GGAGGTAATTTAAACGGGGCGCAACGATTGAAACAGGGGGGGAGTTTTGTAACGTAGGGAGAACCCTGCCATCATTACCATGATTATAATTCTTGATTTCCTGTCGTTGTCATGTTACCTGACTATGTGTACTGTGTAGTGCATGTCTGTCTGTGTGAATTAAATTGAATAAGAATGTGATTGGTTTCTTAGTCGAGTGAAATGAGATAAAAAAAATGTGATCGAATGTAATTTGTTCACGATTTCTTAACACTGATAGTCTGATACTGGTGCTGAATGCTGATGAATGAGTCAGTGCATCAAAATTATGAAAATTTTAACAAAATCATGCTATGAAAAAGTAGCTCTGGCCAAGCCTAAAATAGCTCCCGTAAAAAAAATTACGAGAGCTCTTTTTTCATACAATATCAAAAAAGAGCTCTCGTAAAAAAGAGTATTAGGCTGCCGCACAGGAAATAACAAAATTACCAAACTGATTATTTTGTTATTCTCTACTAACCTTCTACATTATTCTAATGAAATGAATGGTAAATTTAATCAAATATAGACTCAAAATAGTCAAATTCCGAAGCCTAAAGTCCATGCCAAGTACACAAACTCTCCATGTTTGTTGTGTTCGATTTTCTAGGTCATGCTGTTAAACTTCTGCTAATTCGATAATACTGGGCATCCCCGACCAATCACTGAATCAGCGATCGCGTAATAAAATATGATAATTTTGATGATAATAGGAATAATGGCCGGTCTTCAGAGACCACTGATCTTTGAAATCGACTTGCAGACTTGTTCCGATTTACTACGCATCAGTGTATCGAAACGTGTAAAAAATATAATGTTTAAGAATACCTTAGAATGCACATCACCAAGTTGCACCATCCCCCCCTATAAAAACGTCCCCACATCCGAGTCATTCACTTTGCTATGACAGAAATCCTGGACCAGTGCCTACTGATCAGGACCAGTGCTTCCTCAGAGGCACTGGTCCTGCTGGACCAGTGCCTCCAATTATCAGTTTTTCACCCTGCAATAGCCATTATTAACACTGAGTTTCGACTTCACAAGTACAGGCCACATCTGTGTATATTCGTTCCTGAATTTCTGTACAACATTTAACCGTTAGTTTGCAGTTTAATTTTAGTGTTTGTAGTAACTTAAGACATTTGTTCGGCAGAGAATGTGTTTTATTTGGCATACCGAAGAAGTTAATATCGGCAAAATGTTGTCTTTGCTTACTCACTGGAAATTGCCATATTACGTTCTATAGCCCTGCGGCAACTGTACGCGGGCTATAGTACTAGAGCTACAGACGCCATTGCTCTCGCAGCTCCACTGTTGCACGCTTACACTAATATATATATAGCAGGTAGGAAAGCGTGATCGCAAAATTCGCTCGACGCTCGCTGGATTTCACACTTTCACAGCACGAATACACATCCAACAGCTGTCATCTTTGTTTCTATTTCAAGAACAGTGTTCACTTGTTATAAAAACATACTGTCTCTGTTCGTAATCGAGCTGTGTCACGCGAAATCACACAAAGACTGACGAAATTCTCACGTTCGCAAACCTTGCCCTTTAATGTAAATGGCTGTCAGAATCAGGAAACACCTATCGGCGCTCTTCGTGACCTCATTTTTGCGCCGCAACGCTGCAACGTTTTTGCAACGTTCCAATGGCGAGGCTCGTACGGGAATTGGAAAGCAGTGCGCCGCCTGCGCGCCGCCTATAGTCCATAGACTGGCACTCGCCCCTACCTCTCGGCTTAGCTTAGTCACTCGATGGGTAATCGAGGTGGGAGCGAGTCCCAGTCTATATATAGCCCTGATTCTGACGGCCATTTACATTACGGGGCAAGGTTCGCGAACGCGAGAATTTCGTCAGTCTTTGTGTGATTTCGCGTGACACAGCTCAGTTACGAACAGAGACAGTATGTTTTTAGCTCATCTGACATAGTCAGATGCAGCTTGTAGAATCGCATGATAAGGGTACGTTCCGGTATACCGGACCGTACCCAGGGTACCGTTCCGGCAGTACCCTGGGGGACATAGACCCTATGAGTATGAGCCCTAGCTACGCCCCTGCATATAATCATACGATACATATGATTATAGAATATAGGCTAGCCTACGTGTGAACGCTGTATTCTCAAGGCCACGCTATTCACGATGTACGATACGCGTTCGAAACTGGGTAACAGTGGGTTTTGATGTAGGTGTGAACGCAGTGTTATATAACGTCACTTTACTCCAATAAATAAGAAATTTCACAAGGAAAACAACCTGACTATTGATAATAATAGTACTACCCTAATAACAATTGTCGATTACCGCTTGCAAAATGTTATTTACGAGCCTTTTTATATGCTGGTACGTCCAAAACACAATATTGAATATCAACAGTACACAGCGCGACAGCTAGACGTTCCCCAGCTCCTAGGACTGCCGTGGCCGCGCCTAGTGTGGTTGGGCCGTGTGGTACGTACTCGACGGCTCACTCAATAATGTTTTTGAAGAGTCAGGGTACCCATCTACGCAGCAGCAGGCATGCCTTGTGTTATTATGTGAAAGCGCCACCTAGTATCTAATAAAATTATAAAAGTAACTATGGTGGCCAACTGCGCCGTGAATTGTTTTGTGTGGCGCGTATTTCTAACAACTCTACTAATTGTTCTAATAGATATAGATCAATCACATGGAAGGAAGCACAACCTAACATTAGAGGTAATTTTGGTTATTGGTGACAATGTCGTCTCCATTCGTGATTCGTTCTACTTCTCTCTTCAATCTTGTTTACGCAGCAAAAATTTCACTTCCAGAGCCTAGGCTAAGTAAGGCTTTAGCTCTACGAGTAGTACTACTACTACTAGTACTAGTACGACTACGTCACTAGTCACAGACACTTGAAGCGTTTCAATAAAATATAATGCTAACTAAATACGAAATCTATTTACTACCAAATTCTTAATGTTTCTATACTCTCTTTCACCTATTATTGCCGACAGTTTCCTGTAAATTCCGGCCAAATCCTACGTGCAACATTACACATGTCTCTCTATCCATTGAAGTTGAGGACCGCGGCTGTCCCGGGCTGCTCCTTGTAAATTTGTCACCGTAGCTGACGGCATCCCCGCACGGCCTGTGCGCAGGCCAGCTAGTTACATTGGCTGCAATGCGACATACTAGTGCATTCCCCCCTTTGGATGCCACACTCTATATGTCTATGATGACCCCACTTAAGTGTCGTCCCTTCGCCCTTGATGTTCATCCTTCCCGTACCGTTTAGTCACTGAGATAACAATAATGTAACCCCGAAATCACAGGATTAGGGTTACAACTATAACGCGTCCTATCCTTTTGATGTCAGAAGGAACACGCTGAGTGAATCACTCAGGGCGTTTGCTGGTGCGTTTTTCCAGAGACTAGAACATCCAAACTGGAGTTATCTCAACAGCGAACCTTTCTATCTCCGCTATCTCATTGTTGGAACTTTGCATATCGTATCACATACTATGTATTAAAGCTAAATATAACCTGTTACAGGACAGAATTTGAAGTGACAAGCGGCCGAATATACTGAGCGCCATTTCTGTTGACACTGTGACTCACGCATTCCCAATGCGCATAGCGATCCGGCAAACAGCAGCACCCTCCGATCTGTCGGTGAATACCTCTTCAAACACGAAGGTACGTCACAGGCAACAAAATGCGCCTCAGTAGCATTCGCCACTCGTCACTTCGAATTTTAAACAGGTTATATTAAGTTTAATAATCAGAGTATTGTGATACATAGTAAGTTCCAAGATAGGGGAGAAGAGGTTCGTGTTGAGAATAACCCAGGTTTGAAGTTCTAGTCCTCTGAAAACGCACAGCAGCAAACTCACCCTGAGTAATTCACTCAGAGGGTTCCTCACACAAAAGGATAGGAGACGCGGTTGTAACCGCTGCTTCCTGGTTTGGTTACATTATTGTATGCGAATACTAAATGGTAATCATTCCAATATCATATGAATATG